AGAGAGGGAGACACAGAATCTGAAACAGGCTGCAGGCTCTGAGCGGTCAGCACAGAGCCCGACGCGGGGCTCGAACTCACGGGCCGTGAGATCATGACCTGAGATGAAGTCGGACGCTTAACCGACCAAGCCACCCAGGCGCCCCGTAATGTGCACCATTTCTGTAAAGAAGGTAGAAACCATGAACAGTTTCAAACTATGGGCTTACTGGTATGATATTTTCAGCTTGGGGCATAGACTATGTTGAGTACACAGTTAGGGCTCAGTATCTGTTGGTTAATGATTTTATTAGAACGGTCATATATCCTCTAGAGGATTAAAAAATGTGTTTAGTATTTGTCTAATGAGATGGTTTTGTTGTTTCTAGGACTTTTGGATGTTTTAATAAATATCTCTTAAGTAACTTTAGCCTAGAGTAGTGATTTCTATCTCTGTCTCGTGTTGTGATTGATAGAGCTGACGGCAGTGTTGCTGTTTATGTCCTACCTCCAGAGGCTGCTTTCCTTTTCTATAGGTTAAGTTTTGCGAGCAGCCTGGTTTGAGAACCTTTGGCCTAGTGGGGCATCTTCGTGGATGAATTTTAGAATCAAAACTATTTTTTTAAAGACAGTATGTTTGCAGCAAAATTTATATATATGTATGTATGTATATATATGTATATACACATATATATATACATATATATATATTCAGGCAGGTGCTAAAAATAATGTATACAATAATATAACCCATCTCTTATCTCTAAAAGATAGCCACTGTTTTCTGTTTGTGTATTTTTCTGTGCATGTACAAACATTCTTCAGCAAATAAGATCATACAGTAGGTACCATTCTTTGACTTGTTTTTACTCAGCTAGTATATTTTAAACATCTAGAGAAAACCATTTCTCATAAATAATTTTGTCCAAGGATTCAAAACAAAAGCACAGAAGATAATTTTGAGCAACTTGGCAACGGAGGCTGATGAGAGACAGAGATTGGGAGCAGGGCTATTTCTAGCCTCGTTTGGAGGCCGGGACACATCACAGTTCTCCGGCAACAAACACAGTGCAACAATCCAGGCAAAATTCAGCTAGGCTGAAGCTTATGGTAGCCTTGACTGCGAAAAAATAACGAGAGGACTTCAGGAGGTGTGCCCAGGAAGAAGGAATATTTCCTTCCAGTGAATTAAGGTGATTTGTACAATGGCATGCTTCAGAGTTTTCTGTTTTGTGCATTGTATTTTTAAAATTTTGTTGTGCATCTTGCTTAGCACCAGCCAAGTCTCCCTCTGGCATCCTCTTTCCACTGTTGCTGACTTTCTAGAAGGTTGGATGCGGCAGATGGACCAGTGGGCCCGTGGGTGTCTACGTTAGCTGTGTGACCCGGGCAGTTTAAGAAAAGGTGGCGATATTCCACACCTGTCCTCTTAGTACCTGTCCTTCCTCTAGGCCTCACGGATGTATGTTCTTGCTCTGCTCTTAGGATACTGCAGTTCTCTTTGCCTGAACTAGCCCAGTAGGTTCCCTGAGTTTGCCGATAGTGAGCAGGGGCCTTAGACAGACTTGCCTTATGCAGAGTAGATCAAGGTCTTAGGTCCTGTCCGCTGACCGGGTTGTGTGCATCTAGCGGGGAATTGACAAGAATAGTAGTAACCTGAAACCTAGGTTAGTTGTAGATATTCTCAGCGGAGTTCAGTGTTTTCCACGATGAATAATAAGGTTTTTAAAAAAGAGTGAGAAATGTGAAAATAAGTTTGAGTTTATATAGTTTGTGCTCAGTCTGCCTAAGCGATAACCCTAGACTGGTCATGAGAGGACCATTTGAGGTTCTATTTTAGCTGTATAATGTCTTTGATATCTTGGGGCTTTATAGAACATTAAATTTACATTCCCCAATGATTAGGTCAATTTATGGTTGAGGCCGAGAACTGTATAGTCACTAGGCAGACACCATTACTTGTAATGTCAAATAATCCCTCACTCATACTGTTAAATATAGTCAAGAAATTTTTCGTTCTGTTTGTATTTCAAGAACAACATAGATCTGGTAAGCTGTCCGAACGGGGGTTGGGATCTGAGGCTGATTATTGACTTCTGTTTAAGAGTATGTGCCTGCTGCTGTAGAACCTTTCCTTATCTCTGAGCTCCCTTGATGAAAATGCCCTGCTCCATATTATTATTCCTTTCTCTTCCCGCTTTATTAGGTTCGCTTCAGAAAATTATATATTTTAAAATAGAAATGCTTCTGAGCAGGTGAAGCCTTTGTGTCCTTAAAGCATTTATTATCAGCTGAAGCCGTTTGTTTGGGAGTGACAGTCCGGAAGCACGCTTTCCCTGAAAGCTGGCAGAGAAAAACCTTAAAAGGCAGGCTTTGTCCACTTTTCCTTAATGACCAGCATCTGTCTCTTAGGCCGTTGAGAAGCAGGCCCGGCAGTTCACCACACACTGGAAAATACACCTGCTGTCTTTTTCTCCAAATGATTTCACATTATCTGAGTCCATTCTGAGTGTTGATTCTTAAGAATTTGGCAGGGTGGAAATGATTTTGTTTTTAAAATCTGTTTTTTGTGTATCCTTTTTTAAAAAAAATTAAACTTTTTACTTTGAGAAAATTATAGATTCACATGCATTTGTAAAAAATAATACGTAGAAAACACGTGTACCTTTTATCCAGTTTACACAATGGGAACATCTTGGCAAACCACGGTGTCATTTCAAAACCATGATACTGACATTGATCCATGAACCTCATTCACATTTCACCAGGATTACGTGTATATGTGTACTTACTTATGTGTGTGTATTACATATTTTTGTACAGCTTTATCCCTTGTGTATGTATCCACCACTGCAGTCAAAATTCAGAATAGTTCCATTGCCACAAAGGTCCCTAGTGTTAGTTTCTTACATCCACACCTTCCTTCCTTAACGAGCTTTTTGCTTGTTTCTAGTCATTTGTGGGCATGACTTAAAAGAATCATCTTTTAAATTTATAGCCACACTTAAAAAAATTTATTTAGTTTTTTAGTGTGGTGAAAACACATAAAATTTAATCATCTTAGCTATTTTTAAAAAACTTTTTTTTTTTTTATTTATTCTTGGGAGAGAGACAGAGCATGGGCAGGAGAGGGGCAGAGAGAGAGGAGGGGACACAGAATCCAAAGCAGGCTCCAGGCTCTGAGCTGTCAGCACAGAGCCCGTCTCGGGGCTTGAACTCACGCACCACGAGATCATGACCTGAGCCAAATCCAGACGCTCAACCCACTGAGCCACCCAGGCACCCCGGTCATCTTAGCTATTTTAAGTGTACCCCTGAGTAGTGTTACGTACATTCACATCGACGTATAACAGATCTTCATATCTTTTTCATCTCATAAAACTGCAACTCTGTACCCATTAAACAGCAACTCCCCAGGAAAGGAGTACTTTCTTTTTTTTAAGGCTGAATGATATTCCGTGTGCACGTGCAGCCCACTGTTCGTTCATTCATTCGTTCACTGGTGGACATTCGAGCTGCTTCCACTTCCTGGCTGTTGTGAATAACAGTGCTATGAACACGGGTGTGATCCTGCTTTGGATTCTTTTGGATACATACCCAGAAGTGGAATTACTGGATCATATGGTAGTCCTTTTTTAAAATTTTTGAGGAACCACCGTCCTTTTTCCATAGCAGCTGCACCATTTTGCTTTCCCATCAGCACTGTATACCTGTACTTGAATGATGTTGGGATGAACAAGTTTTAATTCTTCCATTTCTGTTCTTTATTTCATGACTGTTTTGTTGGCCTTTCCTTCACATTTGCTAGTGAATGCTAGCACAAATAGCAGATATTTTGCATTATAGAATGTTTGCGCACCAAGGATGATTCTCAAGGTGTCATCCAAGCATTTTGATGTCCGCTCTTTCCGGTATGAGTAACAGAAACCTTACCTGAACCAGTTTAAGTAAAAAGGGAATTTGATTATAAGGAACGGAGGTGCTACATTGAATCTAAGGGTAGTGATGTGGCAGGCCTTGGAAATCACGGGAGTAAGGGACTGGCTGTCTCATTGAGGGATCCATTTTTCTTTCATCCTGTATCGCGGCTTTCCTCATGTGCTGATGAAATGGCTGTTCCCAAAACCTTCGGCCACCCAGTGACTGAGATGCTCCCGTGGTCCCAATCCAGAATTCCTGGGGGAAGGGAATGATTGGCCCAGCTGGGACCAGTTGCCTGCCATGATGTACCTCACGACAGACTTGGTTAGGGAGACGGAGTCAATGCAAGGACCTGGCAAAGCCATCAGGAGATGTGTGGATTGACTGAGAGGCAGTAGGTAGCCAGAAAGAAAGGGAGTGAGCATAGAGACAGAATGAAAGGTGTGCTTATCAACTGTAACCTAAAATGGACAGCAACCGAGGCCACATTGAAGAAAGGACAGTGGTGCTTGGAAAGGTCTGGGTAAGGACCGTTAAAATGATCTGAGGCAAAGAATTAAAAAAAAAAAAAAAATTCCGAGTGATGCTTTAGTATATAAAGTTGAAAGCCAAGAGGGGAATTGCCTGAAATAATAAAATCATAAAAGAGAATCCCTGACTGATTTCCGGAACGATTTGAATTAAGGAGTAGATTTCAGAAATGTCTTAACACTGTTATTTAGTGTAGAGCATAGAAGATGACATGTCAAACAGCAATTCGTTAACTTTGTTCCAAGAGCTCTGCAAATATATCAGGGGTTCATCAGACACATTGATGGATTATAGCTCAATGATGGAGACATTTAGAGGAAATTAGAATGTAGCCTTAACCTTCTGAAGTCCTGGAACTATTTCCCCAGCAAGCATTAGTGGCGATGATAACTGCCAAGCAGTGGTTAGTGTTAGTATTTAGTAATACTATGTATGAGGTACTGTACTGGGCGCTTTTATACCTGTTACCTCACTTAACCCTCCTCCAGACCGTGGGGGCTCACCGTTTGTTAAACCGAATTTTCCCGGGTGTTTTCAACTGAATTATTAACACTCTGCTTTTCCTTTCAGAGATGTGGTACTGGATCTTTCTCTGGGCTCTCTTCTCCTCTCTGTTTGTCCACGGTGCTGCAGGAGTGTTGATGTTTGTAATGCTGCAGAGACATAGGCAGGGGAGAGTAATCTCTGTCATTGCAGTCAGCATCGGATTTCTGGCTTCTGTAACTGGAGCGATGATCACTAGTAAGTTGATTTTGTTTTGTTCAAGGACCTAATTGTATGTGCACCTAACGGTTCTAGTAACTCTGTTCTTATGATGCATGTGACGGTAGTGTAATCTTCCGTGTGGAATATTTTCAGCTCTGATCACACTTTTGGAAGGAAAGATCAGTTCATTTATTCATCGAACAGATAGTTTTTGTGCTTCTGGGTGAAGACTCGTTACGCAAGGTTTGGTGGGAAATAGAAAAACTTGTAAACGTTGGCAAGGGGCGAAGAAATTCACGGGAAAATTTCTCGTCTAGTGGATGTAGTTTTTGCTTTAAAGGAACTCCCTGTCTAGTAAGGGAGAGAGGTAGGCACACACATTTGACTTTGGTAATTGTCATAAAAAAAAAAAAAAGTGAAAATATAGCCCGTAGGTCCTTCACATTTTCTGCCTGTGACTACAAAATAAAACCTCACTTTCTTCTGAAGCACAAGTTATTATGACACGAATGTCCCCTGACCTAGTAGAAATTGGCCCCTTGAGAAGGTCCCCTGGCCGCTTACAACTTTGCTAGTGCACCGCCCCGTGTGTGTTTCCTACAAGCCCTCAGGTGCCTCCCCTCCGGCCGTTTCTTAACACTGGACGGAGGCCCCAGCCTCTGCCTTTGGTTCAGCGAGTTCTGGCTCCTGCACCGGTCGAGCCAGGACTCAGCTGCATCCTGTTGGGACCGGAGGACACTGCAGCCGCTGCCAGGACAGGGCCCTGCAGACAGTGGCTGCTGGGCTCTGCTGCCGTTGGTTTCTGTCACAACCAGTGAATAGTGGGGGCTCCCGTTGCCCTTAGTTTCCGGCCTCCATCCGTCCCTCTGGGACGGCTCACTGCTGCCACAAGAAGGATGTCGAACTCTCTGGTTGGTTCTTAGCCCCGGAGAGAAGAGTGAGTCCTTTCCTTCTGTAGTTCGAAGGCCTCCTTTTGTATCCCACCGTCACCTTTTCCCAGAGTGACCGGCATACCTCGCACCCTGGGAGGAGAGCCCTGTTTCCGTGTCTCTGCCTCTGTCCCGTGGCACTGATATGACAGTCACGAAATAGTTGTTTTTTCATCCTTTATTTACTGTCTGGTTTTTCTGTGTTATTCTGTATTAGGTTTTCGTCGTTGCTGCCTGCAGCCTATAACTTTATCATATGGCATGTTGTCCATTTTGCCACAGAGAGGCCTTAGGATTATTAAAACATTTTTTAATGCTTATTTATTTTTGAGAGAGAGGGAGAGCAGGTGCGGGAGAGGGCCAGAAAGAAGGAGACAGAGGATCCGAAGCAGGCTCTGCACCGTGAGCACAGAGCCTGATGTGGGGCTCGAACCCACAAACTGTGAGATCATGACCTGAGCTGAAATCAAGAGTTGGACACTTAACCAACTGAGCCACTCGGGCACCCCTGCCACAAAGAGGCTTTAAAACAAGTACTCCAGTTTAGCTGAAGCACAGGATATGCATAGTAAACGAGTAGAGATTCAGCTGGAAAGACCCAGTAGAGCCAAATCCTAGAGGATCTTGGAAGGTGAGCCAGAAAATTTGGGCCTTTTTTCCTGCAGGGCATGGACAACGAGAGTCTTGAATGGGGTTGGCAAGGAACAAAGCAGTCCAGTGGAAAAAATTGTTTTAATAGATGATATGTGTAAAGGACCGAGAGAGCACTCTGAAAGCGCCTTCGTCCCTACTGGGTTCCCAACAACAATGAAAGGGTACCCGGATCATAATAGATACTCAGAAAATACTGGTTGGGGGGATAGATCGAGTAGGGGAGGAAGTGCAAAGGGAAGAGAGGAAGAAACGGGGGAGAGAAGAAGGGAGAAACAAGGGGAAGGAAGAGGGATCGAGAGGCATTAACTGCGATCTGAACTTGAGCCTGGGATCTAAACTAGCTGTGGTTGGAGATGACCTATGGACAACGACAAAGGGAAAAAATCCGAGTTGGTTTTATTCACTGTGGTGTCATACAGAGAGGCTTGAAAGGGACTGCCAGTGTTTTTGATGTGCACCACATAATCGTGGACCCACCACCAGAGGAGGGAAGAAGGGATAGCTTGTTCAGAGGTTGTAAGTAGTGTGTGGATATACGTGAGTTTACTGGCACAAATTATTGTAAAAGGTTAGAGAGCAGGAGAAATGTCCTTCTATTTCCGTTTATCTCTAATGATGCATCTGTGTATGTATTACCTACTTGCAGTTCATCCAAGAATAAAATAAGCCAATGATTTTAGAGACGGCAGTCTTATATTTTACGCCCTTAAAAACATAAATAGTCTGGCATAATTTCAAGTAAAGATTCCAGGTTAGCAATAAAACATTTAAATTTCTTCTGGCTAATCTCTTGACCTGGAGATACTTGAATTAAGAAAACTAGCTGAAGTGTGAATATTTTAACTATATTTATGTTCTCAATGTTTGCGTCTGTGCACTCATAGCTGTATATTCAGGTCTGCAGACGATTGATTAATATCTATTCTGAATGGGAAAATAGGCTGAATATAGATACATCTATTAAATGTTGCTACTTCTTAGATTTTATTCTGAATACAGTGATCTTTCATTTTAGTTGGTTTTTTTTAATGTTTGTTTATTTTTGAGAGAGAGAGACACACACAGAGTGTGAGCAGGGGAAGGGCAGAGAGAGAGGGAGACACAGAATCCGAAACAGGCTCCAGGCTCTGAGTCAGCACAGAGCCTGATGTGGGGCTTGAACGCACGAATGGTGACATCATGACCTGAGCCGAAGTCGGACACTCAACCGACTGAGCCACCCAGGCGCCCCTCATCTTAGTTGGTATTAATGAGAGTTGGGAGAAACTGGGTTTCCATATAATGCCATCAGCTGGCAGTGTAGAGGTAATTTTAGCAAATCTGAAGGTATAAAGTGACATGTCTTTGTTCTGATCACTAATGAGTTTGAACTCCTCTTCCCATGCTTATATATTTAGAATTCTTTTCCTGCAGATTGCTTCCTTAAGTTATGTGTTTACTTTTCTTGGGGGTTCTTCTTTTCTTCTCATTAAACTACAGGGGTTTCTTACACATTTGAGATACGGGTCCCTTGTTGGTTTTGGATTTCACAAGGAACTTCTCAGTCCTTTATCAGTTACCTTCCTCTAGAAATCCTTAATTTCCATGTGATCAGCTCAAAGAGCATTTTGCCTTATGGTCTATGATTTAATTTAAGAAGTTCTTCCCCACACCAAGGTCAAAATATATGCTGATATATTTTCTAACGTTAATTTTATAATTTTACCTCTGCTATAATGATCTTTACTTCATCTAAAACAAGAGTCAGTAAACATTTTCTTAAAGGGCTAGATAGGAAATATTTTTTTAATGTTTGCTTGTTTATTTATTTGGAGCACCTGCGAGTGGGGGCGGAGGGTGCAGCAGAGAGAGAGAGAGAGAGAGAGGGAATCCCAAGAAGGCTCTACCTGTCAGCCGATGCGGGGCTTGAACTCATGAACTGTGAGATCATGACCTGAGCTGACATCAAGAGTCAGACGCTTAACTGACTGAGCCACCCAGGTGCCCCTGGATAAGAAATATTTTAGGGGCGCCTGGGTGGCGCAGTCGGTTAAGTGTCTGACTTCAGCCAGGTCACGATCTCGCGGTCCGTGAGTTCGAGCCCCGCGTCGGGCTCTGGGCTGATGGCTCAGAGCCTGGAGCCTGTTTCCGATTCTGTGTCTCCCTCTCTCTCTGCCCCTCCCCCGTTCATGCTCTGTCTCTCTCTGTCCCAAAAATAAATAAACGTTGAAAAAAAAAAATTTAAAAAAAAAAAATATTTTAAACTTTGCAAGCCAGGTGGTCTCTGCGACAGGTCTTTGGCCCTGCCATTGTAGTGTGAGAGCAAGTATAGACGTGTGTAAATGAATAGGCATGGCTTTTTCCAGTAAAACTTTATTTACAAAAACAGGTGCCTGGCATTCAGACATAATTTCATCAATTCCTGACTTGGGTCCTGGTGAGTCTCATTTTGGGTTTGGTATTAGACAGCATTCCAGGTATTTCCTCCCACATAGTAAGTCAGTTTCTACCACACCACCCACTGGGAAAAAAATGCATCATTTCCACACTGATTCACCTTGTTTGCGTATTATGTTCAAGGTACAAGGGTCTGTCTCTGAACCCTGTTCTGATTTGTTAGTTTTTTTATGCGTTCTTCCAGCAAGGTCACATTTTCTTTATCGCTACGGTTTTGTGGTATTTTGTATCTGGTAAGGCTAGATTCCGCTCATTTCTTTTCCTTCTCAAAGTCGGCATAGCTATTTATGGGCTTTTATTCTTTCATATAAATGTTAGAATATGTCTACTCAGTTGCTCAAAAAGTATAGTTATGGTTTTTATTGGGATTTAATTGAATGGAGAGGTTGCTTTGGGAAGAACTGGCATATTAAACTGTTCCACCCAAGAACATCTAATAGATTTCCATTTATTTAGGTCATCTTCTAGTCTTTTGTTAGAGTTTAAAAATGTTTTTCTCAACAAGGGGGTTGAATACTTTTGGTGAACTTAATTCTCAGACTCTTCCTATATTATGGTGGTTGTGCTTGGTATCTTTTGAGGACATTGCTTAGTTTTATTGGTGTAGAGAAACACCGTTCCGTTTTCTTTTTTTTTTTTTTTAATTTTTTAAAATATTCACTTACTTTAGAGAGAAGGAGAGAGAGAGACAGAGCGTGAACATGGAGAGGCAGAGAGAGAGGGAGACACAGAATCAGAAGCAGGCTCCAGGTTCTAAGCTGTCAGCACAGAGTCTGACGGGGGGCTCGAACTCACAAACTATGAGATCATGACTTGAGCCAAAGTCAGACGCTTAACTGACTGAGCCACCCAGGCATTCCAACACCGTTCAGTTTTCTGAATTAACTGAAAGATTAACAAAGCAAAAAACTGGCTCTTTGGAAAGATACTAAGATGAATAGATTGCTGGCAAACTAATTTTAAAAAGTTGAAGGCAGAAAAGTAAAATATAGACAAAATAGAATAAATAACTACATA